CTATTTAAAAAGGTTTGATTTAAATTGTCATGAGAAAATAGTCAAAATAGTTTAGCGATTTATTTGCCTTTATTGTCCTGTTCGCCTTCCATAAAACACAGTCATCCGTAGGTGAAAACCACCAGAACCTGACATGCTCCGCCGAGTACACGACTTTCTCTAGATCATTTAATATTGCGTCAAGTTTGATTGGTTTCTGTTCAGCCTCAAGACGAAATTCCGCTTCACATTGTATTGTGACACGCGTAATAATGCCTAGGGCTCCTATGCTACAAAGTGCCGCTTTAAATATTTCGGTATTCTTTTCTTTGGAACAAGATATTTTTTGGCCAGAAGCTGTTACCAGTGTCAAACCAATAACCTAAAAAGAATTATTTTTAGTTATTACTTTACCACATGAAAAATAACCACCCATTTTACCTGAGTTGAAAGATTCCCAAAATTTATCCCGGTGCCATGAGTAGCGGAACTGATAGCTCCCGCAATACTTTGATCCGAAATCGAGCCAAGACTTCTTAACGCAATTCCACGCCATTTGAGTTCTTGATTTAGCTGAAACAATCGAATTCCTGCTTCGACGGTTACTATTAGTGATTTTGGATCAAACTTGTTTTGATGCAAATCAGTATAATTAGTTCTTATTCTTAACGATTAAGTTAAAGTTATTTCTTCTAATACCTCTAATACATGATTTAGGTCATCCAAATTTATCATGTATTCATTCGTACAAGCTAAATCTGATGGCGAATGACCAGCTCCAACGACTTTTACAGTTTTATGATTTTCCCGCGCGAGATTTACAATCTATTAATTTTTCAATATTTTTTGACATTAATCATATAAATGAAAGTAATTCAAGAGATTATTACATTGACAATTTCATCCTCCGACTCTGGTCTAAAATACAATTCAGGGATACACCTAAACGTATCCGCCCAATTTCTAAATTGATAATTTTTTTGTGTTCTTCCAACGTTTGGCGTTTTGGCAAATTGATCGGACATTTTTTATGTAGTCGTCATAAGAAATATACATATGTTGGAGATCCAATATATATTTGAACAACAATTGTGATCGCGATCGTGATTTTTTATCGTTATTCGTGTCGAAATAAGGCAATTGCATTAATTTTAGGGACGATTTTATGCAAAATGCAGGATTACGTTTATTGAATTTATGATACGTATATAACAACATTTTGATCATTTTATTCTTTATATTGAAAAATAAAAATGGCCAAAATGGTTCATATAAATAAATTCACCGACATTATTAATGATTCCCTACAGTGACAACGAAATTTATATGGTGTCGTTATAGAGAGGTTGACGTGTAATTCCAGTAAATAAATTACCAATTCAAATCATCTGATAAGAAGATATCAAATTTAATTAATGTCATTAACTTGATTAGCATAAAACAATGCAAAAATTTCACGAGAATTTTGAAGGCAATTTCCAAAAAGCAATTCTTTTAGGAATTTTTGTGTTTATCTGTGAACTTGCCATTGGAATAGATTCTTCGCATGTGATAGTTTGGCGGAGAAATTTTGTTAATGACGACTCAAAATTTACTACCTTTTTGATCTCTAAATAAAATGCTCGGCGTGAAATTTTAGATAAGCTATTTTGAGTTATTTACTTTTTGAATTTTCACATTAACTTATCCACACGGATCAGGGGCCGTCTTGCTTGAAATAAGTGGGTAGAACTATCAAAACACTACATAGAAACTCATTATAAAAGACATATTTAAGTTGAGATTACCAAATATATCTGAATTTTCTAAATTTTCGCGCTAAACATTTTTATTCAGCGCTCAAAGGCCAGTTAATATATAACATTCTAAGCTATTTACGATTTGTCTCTTGTTTTTAATTTTTTTGCGTTCTATCGTATTTTACACTGCAAAATTCCCGTTTTAATTCGACAATAGCGTTTAAATTTTACCCGGATGCATAGGATTCAGGGGTGTACATAATGAAGGGTTAGTCAAGGTTTTCATTATATCAAGGCTTATTTATATAAAGGAATTTTCGTTATATCACGAATTTACTATGTGTTCGTTGTATCGAGGTTTAACTGTAATATATGCTTACGCCATTTCGTTACACTTCAATAAAGTAACTTTAGTCAATAATGCCTGATGAACTATTGACAATCAATATTTACTCGTTATTATTTACAAACCCCTGAATCCTATGCATATTTTCGGTTTGCAGATTCTTATTGGTTGAGTAACATGTGACCAGCACCGAGCACAGATTCTAATTTTCGACACAGTGCCAAATCAGGTGAGCTTTCCGGGCCAGTGCCGAATTTAAGATCAAATTTTTGAAAAAACAAATCCGACTCAAGAGAGATGAAGTGATATTACATTAAAAATCTCGGGAAAGCAATTTTCACATATAATCTTGTCTTCTCATTATATGATTCAGCATTGTCCGTAAAATCAACGTATAGGGGAAAAATTGGCTCACCCTCCCCCCAAATAATTTTCCCTATGACGTGTAAGGCGTCCGAAAGCAATCATCCGATATCCCACTAAACCAATAATGCAAAATTCATCTAACAAGAATGCTAATCCGAATCATAACTAAAATGCTAAGAAATAAAGAGGACATTAAATGTTTGCTAGATCGGAAGCCCTTTTTACACGGTGGAAAGATAATTTTTTTGGAGATGAGGTATAAGCGTCGAAAAATTCAAAACAAACAGTTATTTTGAAAAAGACAATAACAAATAATCGTTAACTCAAATTTTGAAAATCACATGAGCCGACACTTTTTCGCTACGTATTCGAAATAATGGTTGAAATATCAACGTGAATGTTTAATTAAATGTTCGTCTCATAGTTCACTTTTTTGAATTATAACATCCATTACTACAACATTTTGTTCTCGCTAAAGAGATAAAATGATCACTAAAGGATTTCTAAAGACATTGTAATTCTAGCGACAACTTTGATATCGAACGTTTAATTAAGACTCGATATAAACTCCTGGTTTCGTGTACTGTTACAGGCTTGTTTGCTTTTGTAAAGGATATACGGTATTACATTTTATAATGGACAAAAGATCGTTATAATAAAAAAAAGCTTATAAGGCTTTTCTATCCCACTTTTTCATATTCAAAACCAAATGAATCTCACATTATCGTTATCAAAAAAAAAATAATACCAATACGATTTATTAGGATCCTAATAGCATCTCGATTGGATTCGAAGTTCCAAAAGCATATGCGTGTGTTCGTGCAGTTCTGAATTTTATTCCAAGTCCCATAAATGGCGTATTATGATTAATGTGTCTATTGTTATTTTCATTATTTTCAGAGTACAACATTATTTGTACACGCACATGCTATGTGTAACAACCAACAAAGGACTCTTTTCCCTTGCTTTCTAGTTTCCCTTTTTTTTTTGTTTTATGGTTTTGGATTTATTAATTACGTACATAAGCATAATTTTCAACTAAATGACCTGTTTTTCTTTGAGATACTTTATGTATCCCACTAGAGTTAATTTTCTTAACTTTCGCTATTGCTTTTAATATTTAATTATAGTAGCGTGATTCAATAGCCTATCAATCATTCTTTTCTTGGGCTTTATTTGTTCGTTTTGTGCTACCTTTTAATGGCTCGGCTAATATATGTTTTTAACTGTAGATCTCAAAATTTAATTTTTGATGGGTGGTTGGTTTTTATTTTTATTGACAATAAATTATTATGATTAGCAATTTTTAGGTTGCCATCTTCATTATATAACCAATCACAGAAATTCTTATATTGCATTTTATCCGTTATTATTGTATAAATAGCAGATTTTATGCATGAAGATCAGATATCTACTCTATATCCCAAGCCACCCAAATATATATACGCTAGTATGTCACAATTAGAAAGATTGCATCCCATACCCACCAAATTGGTTGATTTTTTTGAATCAGCTACCCTGCAACCACCATTTTTTCTTTCAATTATCTATCGTTCCCATTTCCTCTTATTTATTCTTCTTTTGCGTATTCTTTTCTGGCCAGCAAATTTCAGTTTTCTTCTTTAGAAAAAAAATAAAACGATGGATAAATACGATATGGCTCTAGCTGCTCTTGTTACTTTTTATGTTGTTTATTGCCCTTTCACGAAAGTTGAAGAAAGTTTCAATTTGCAAGCGACTCACGATGTCTTGGAGCATGGTGTAGCTTTGGGAGCATTGAAAAAGGTAAAGCAGGCAAGGAACAAAGGAGCGTCATTCAAGTTCGATATTCCTGTTTTTACCTTTTCTTTTTTTTTGTGTTGATAATAAAATAGTATGACCACTTCGAGTTCCCTGGAGTTGTTCCAAGAACTTTTGTTGGTCCGTTAGTTTTGGGTGGAGCAAGCTGGCCATTTGTTAAAGCCATTAGATTATTATACCCCAACGTGGATAAACTTATTTTTCAGTATATCGGTAAGACATGAAATAAATAGAGGAGAGAATAGCAGATAAATATTATCATTTATTCGCGCGTTATTATATGATATTTAGTTCGAGTTATTCTGGGTCTTTTTTCTGTCTATACGCTCTCTCGTTTACGACTGTCTATAAGAACTTCCTTCGGATTGTCAGTATCAGTAGCTTTCGCTCTTCTTTCGGCTTTACAATTTCATACAACATTTTGGTCAAGCAGAACTTTGCCAAATATGTTTGCTTTTCCGTTAAGTAATAACCGAGTTTCCTCTTCACTTCCCGTAATTAATCCATCATTCAGATCATTATCTTTTGTCCATTACAACTTTAACATCATCTTCGAATTTCACTAATCTTTATTCTTATTATATAAATGCGGTTGTGCATTGTTATATTTAAATCTAGCAAACATTGCATTCTCACATTGGATTCTCTCCTTGACATCGTCAAATCCTTCCTCACATATTCTCTCGATGTTACGTTATTTTACATTTACCACGGTGGTCTTCCGTTTCGAAGTCTTTTTATTGGCTGGTCCAATTGTTTTGTTGGAACTAATACGAAAGAATGTAAATTTTTATGATGCTTTTAAAGTTGCCGCGTTCACCGGTGTTTTCAGCTTAGGTAAACGTCTTTTCGCTTTTCAGTCAATGATCTTTCTGTTAAATGACATTAGTGGTGTCTTGATTTCTTTTTGTTTGTTTGTTTTTTTTTGAATAGGAATTTCTTTGATAATTGATTCTTATTTCTGGCAAAAAAATTGGATGTGGCCGGAAGGCTATGTCTTTTATTTCAATGCTATACTCGGAAAAAGTGTAGAATGGGGAGTAAGTAAATAATCTAAACTGGTGTCTTCGTTTTAATTTTCGATTACATTAATAATTATCTTTTTATCTCTTTTAAAATATTTAGGTCTTGCCATTTCACACTTATTTCACATCATTTCTACCTCGATTACTTCTTACATCTTTGCCGTTAAGCATTTATGCAGCTTTTGTCGATAGACGAGCGCGCATGTTTCTATCACCGATCTTTTTATACATTCTTATCTTCTCATTTTTGGGTCATAAAGAGTGGCGATTTATCGTGTATGTTGTGCCCATCTTTAATTTGTGCGCGGCGGTCGGCTGGATTTGGATGTAAGTATTTATCGTTACGATAAAAGATAAAAGATTGCATTGAATTTACCATTCATATCTTCATAAAATGTGAAATGGTAAACTTAATGCAACACTCTATATTATTTGATTAGTTAATTATGCGTGATGGCATTATTCCTTGCAAAAGTAAAGCTTTGGATTCTTGAAGATGCTACATGGTCCTTAATGGAGAAACGACTTAATTTCGGTTCCAAAGTTACATGAAAACTAGAATTTTCTATATAGGTATAAGCTAACAATATTTTTTAATTGAATTCAATCTAGGCAAGATACATCTTTTGGAGACTTGCTGAAAAATAAACACGTTTTACAGATAACCAAGCCATTATTCTAAGACCATATAGCATCTTATGTCCAATTCATTATTATACAAAAATAATTGCTTGTTTTTTAACATTCCATACTCATTGAAAAATTTTTATCCTTTTCATTATCAATAGAGAACAAAGGGTTGCCAAAGTGCCTTATAATATTTTACGGATCATAACTTATGCTTGTCTAGCTGGGAGTTGTTTTGCATGCATATTCATGGTCTACGCGTCCAGCTGTAATTATCCCGGGGGATATGCACTACGTCGGATTCATGTCATAGAACGAAATGTACCGCAAGGTGAGTGAGATGATGATTATTATCGATTTCATTAATATTTTCGTTTTTATCCTTGATTTATTATTGGTGGTTGTGTCCTGTGTGTGTATGTTTATGCTTCTAGTTAAACTTCATCTTGATGTATACACGGCGATGACCGGTGCATCAAGGTTTGGCCAATTACGCGATGATTGGACTTATTCGAAAAATGAATCGCACTCAGACCCATCCGACTACATCATCTATTCACATCTTCTTACTTCTGATCCGCAAACACATGAAAAAAATTTTGAAAGTTTAGAAGTGATTGATGGTTATTCGCGTGCAAAAGTTAGGAATTTTGTTGAATTGACGAAAAATTGGGTGAATTTTTTTAAAGGGACTGCCACCGCGACTGATGGAACTTCACTTGCCAATGATAATAAGGCTGGCAAAAAGGTTGCGACGATTTCTAGTTTGTCGCCAGTTGAAATTATGACTGTTTCAAAAGTTTGGATCATGAGAAAACGTTCTTGATCCAAAAGCAATCGATTGTTCTTAAAAGAAATTTATGTATGTTTGCACGAGTTGTTATTCTTATAGGTTACATCCCCAATTGTCCAACCACGGTAAGTTAATTGGTTAACGTGATAATCATGTGAAATTATGACAAACATTGAGTTCAGGTGTCCTGTATGTTTCGTAGTACATGTTTTGAGTGACACTCGTGACACTTATCAAATGAGAATCAAGAATAAGGGTTGCTTTTGGGGTGCGCAGTCGATACCCTATTGTTAACCAACGACAGAGACTATTGATTCCCTAGGTAAAAAATAAGAAAAGTATCCTCATAACGGAAAGCGAGGAAAAGTCAAAGTCTTATTCTACCTTTTCTTCTCTTATATAGTTATATAATAAGTAAAAAAAAACTAGTCTCTTTCTAAAAAAAAGAAAACTCTTGCTCTTCATCTTGTACTTTAACAACGACGTGTCATCTCACACATTGTGCTTTTTTCAAAATAAAAACTGCGCCACACACATTGGCTGCTATCATATACAATATGCAACAACCACAACTACTCACCAACCGAAAGTCGTTTCGCTCCCGTAAGATTGACAACAAGAAACCACTACGATTATATTGGGAGCGTGAGCTAGATGACATTGACGACTACTCTACCCAGATAAGAAGTGCGCCACCTATTGAGACAGGTGTAGAAAAAGAAGAGGAGGAGGTTCGTTATTTTTTTTTTCATATTTTCGTTAGTCTAAATAAAGTTAGGGTGGTCATCTGGTGTCGGAAGAACTCGTCGCTTATGTTAGTGCAAGAAAATGTTGAAATTTTCAAGTATTTCTTTTTCGTTTCTCTTCCTTTACTGCGTAATTACTGGGGGCGTAGCACATGATCATCAACATGCCATTTTTGATCATCATCCAATACGCCTCATTTATTCATTCATTCCCGCTCGCTGCTCTTTGAGTGCTTATATAAACACATATATTATACAATTTATTTCTATATTGGGAAATATGAATTGATATTCGCACGCTTGGTTGTCATTGTCCTTGAAGTTTATATCGATAAAATGGCCATTATAATATGCATCGATTACATGACTTATTCGTCTCGTTGTTTCCATTTGTCTCACAAATAATTTTAGGAAGTTCATTTACAAGAGGCACTAACCGCAAAGGAAGAAGCCTTCAAAACCGGCAAAAAAGTTGAAAAATCTATACCCGTTCCGGAAGCCATAACAGATTTAGCGGAATACGAAGACTTGTACAAAGAGAAAAATTGGGAGGATCCCAAAGCATTTGTGAAATTCTCTGAAGACATTGAAAGTTCTACAGGATGTCCATATACCCTGACGGACGACGATCTCGATTGGATTGAAAGTTATAACAATAAGGCACCGGAAAAGGATAAGTTGGAAGAAGATGAGCTCGAGTGGATCCTTTATCAGTTAGAGTTGATAGCAAATCGAAGACTTCGATGCAAGGTGTGTTTCTTTTCGGGATTTAGATTAACTTTCCCCTTTTCATCTTTCCTCTAAACTACTTTGCGTCCTCCTCCGTATTATGCAGAAGGATATTAGGATACTACCTAGTCTTCAAGATATGGAAAGAACTTTTACAGATTCCATTGCCCCGCTTCGTCGTAAAGTCAAATGTGTGTATCCGTACTGGAAAGAGTGTAGGGTCAAGCGAAATGGTGGTGCAATGGCACCAATTGTAATGGTATGCATAGATCTTAACAACTAAATCATCTATTTTACTATAGTGAAAATATATTGAATCTTTTCTTATCGTTCCTAATATCTTATTAGACTGAACCAGCAAATAGTCAAGAAGAAGATAATCCATACGTGTGTTTTCGGCGAAGAGAACTAAAACCAATACGAAAAACAAGACGAACGGATGCAAAATCGCTTGAAAAATGCGATCAATTACATCTTAATCTGTGTAAAGCAACGAATGTACTCCAAAATTGCCAGAAATTTGAAAAACGAAAATTCGCTTTCATAACCAATGAACGGGATAAATTTACGACAAAAGCCATGGTTAAAGAGATGGGTCGAGAATTAGGAATCGATGATCCAATAGCCGGGAAACCACCAAAAGTATTCTTTCTTTCTTTCACCTTATTTTTAATACATGTTTGATATAATATATTTACTCAGTTAACGGTCTTTATTTTACTCTTTCTGCGGTTATAGAAGAAGCAACGAAAGTTATCACAAGCTTCCAGCGAGAAAGTGTATGCTATTCAAATCTTTTTGCATAGTATTTGGGATAAACTTTACATTCTGCTCTTAAGAGCATAAATGATCTATCATTAAGCTTTGGAATTTTCTAAAAAAAAATCAGGCGCAAAACCCAACAGCAACAATCTACTTCTCAAACTCAAATTCAAGAAACACGATCTTATTGGATTGATGCAACAGATGTAAGCAAGCCCTTTTAACACCTAATTTACGCACTAACATTCTAGTTGGTTGTCAGTCTCACACACGAATATATATGTATCTTTCTATAGGATATATTTGAACCATACAAAAAGCATCAGCCAATCGAATATTACTCAATTTACTATCCATCTGACGAAGAGGAGGCTGCCTCTTCGGACGAAGAATTCATTGAATTACCACGACGCATAGCATTTCGAACTCGAATTGGTCGTGGAGGTCGTGTACTAACGGATCGTCGTGGATTCTGGTCACATCATAATAACAATTGTAGTAAGAGTCATAGTAAAACTGGTAAATCCCGGTTCAAGTTCAGATACGATGACTGCGACGAATCAGAAATTTTCAGTGATGAGGATACCAATTATTCAGATATGATGCAAATTGATGAAAATGATTATAAAGAAAGGTAAAGAATTCAAACTTTACTTGATCATTATCGTAGCTTTTGTTTCTTACAATAATAAATCAGGTTCTTTTTGCAAAATTACGATTTTGATTAAAAAATCTCTCTTCAATTATTTTTTTATTATTACGATGTTGATGGTTGTATAGTCCTATCAAATTTACGCTTCTCAACGAAAAGGATGTCTCAGATTTATACAGTCGTCAACAATCATGGCCAATAACGCATCCAAATGCTATGAATTCTGCTGCTTTGCATCAACAACAACAACATCAATTACAACAACAGCAGCAGCAGCAACAGCAGCAATTACAACAATTGCAACAAAAGAACAATCAAACAGCCATAGCATCGACATCCTCCTCATCATCGTCTTCGTCATTATCTACACCATCATCAACATCATTACAAAATCAAACTTCACTTCGAATTAACGGAGTCAATGGTAATGGTAATAATGGTGGTGGTGGTGGCAATGAAGTCAATGGTGTTCGAAATGTAGTAGTCAATGGAGTGACTAGTGTAAATAATGGCGTCACAATATCAAATAATGTATTTCCTCAGAGACAAGTTTCACGCGTGCAACAACAACTTCATGCACAGGCTCAAGCTCAATTAGCGCGACTTCCTACCATACATCTTCACACATTACGAGGCACACCACAAAATCCTGGCGTTGTTGGAGGAATGGTTGGCATGAACCCAACTTCCAATGTACGAAATAACATTCCCATATCGTCATTGGCAGTTAATAACAACATGACACGAAACATGCAACCCATGATGATACGTGGTGGAGTACCTGTGAATGTGACTAATTCTGTAGCCATGAATCAATCACAAGGCATAAACAATGCGCATATTGCGGCAGCAAGCGCGAACAATAGTCTCGTGAATAATTCAAGTCTACAATCAGCCACATCACCAATGGTGCGAGGAGCTGTGGCACAAATGATACGTGGTCCAATCACCACTAACAAGCCTCCACAACAACAATTCAATGGTGTCCGAAATATCCCACAAAACGGGTTCCAACCAACTCCAATTCAGATCCAACAGACGCAAATGCAATTGCCTAATCATCATCAAATAATGCCATCTCAAATGCGACCTGGTCCGCAGCATATACGTGGAAATAATCTCCACTTGCCTGGCGGTGCCCAAATGCACACAAACCAATTCATATAATAATTAAAAAAAAAACCAAAAAATTAATAATAATCATCATAGTCATAATATATTTTATATATTATATAACACATTTATTTGAAAATAAATCAATAATTATTTTGCGATGACCACCGCATGAATTGCGGTATGATTATTATTAAGTCTTTTGAGAGGAAAATATAGCTTGTGTTCTAGCATATTTTTTTACTGTTCAAAAAATCAAAAAATACAATTTAGTATTAAATTCAAATTCAAATTCAAATCACTATAATACTACTGTATGTATGTTGGATTGTTTATTAAAATGTTTAAGCTTGGTTTATGCTAGGATTTTGAATAAAGCTGTCTTAAAAATCTACAGGGTGCATATAAAGATAAGCAAATTTTTTATAGTTTGAATCCCGAATGAATCGCTGCTACACCAAAAGTGAGATCTTCCCAACCCTTGCCAACCAAAGCAAACCCAGCATCACGCACCATTCTAGCAAACTCTGGTTGTGAAGGAAACTGACGAATACTTTCCACGAGATACTGATACGAGTCTCTATCGGCCGCTATTATTTGTCCTAGCACCGGAATCACTTGGAACGAGTATAAGTTATAGATCCTAACCAAAATGAATGAGAATGATTAGCATTCTAATTATTGTCATCTAATTAATAGTTGGGATGACTTACGGAGAAATGATAGGATGTTCTACTTTTCCGAATTCAAGACACATAAATCTCCCGCCTGGTTTCAAGACTCGATATGCGTCTTTTAACACCTTATCAATGTGGGTGCAATTTCGTATACCAAACGCGATCGTGTACGCGTCAAAGGAATTCGAAGGGTAATCAAGTTGTTCGGCATTCCCAACTTTAAAGGAGACCTGAGAAGCTAGAAAAGAATCGATGTATATCAATATTCGATCGATATCACATGGAAAAGATATAATATACAAATGTTGTATGTTACTTTTGTTAAATAAAGTCTTTGCAAATCGTTTTTTCCCGACTTCAAGCATCTTAGGATTTATGTCAAGAACAGTTGCGTGCGCTGACCGATCTCCATGAATCTCCTTACAATAATTGAGAAAGCCAAGTGCGATATCACCTATTCTAACCCTTAGAATTAATTCATTAGAGAATCTAACCATCATTTTTATTAACAAGGATCTCTATATTCCCGGGTGAAAAACTCACCTGTTCCACCTGCTACGTCGATCAACTTAGTGCCTGGACCAGGTGCCAACGAGCGTATAAAATGATCTTTCCATAGACGATGGATGCCAATACTCATTGCATCATTCATCAAGTCATATTTCGAGGCAACATTCGCAAATACTTGACCGACTATCGATCAATTCCCAAAAATTTGAGCACTCAAGAATAATAAAGCTTCCTTATGGATACTTGCATCAAAGCCATATACCTAACGTCTCCTTTGCGCTCTCCGGTATATATTTAAAGCCAAAATGAGTTTGAGCCTCTGTCTGATTCGTCTCGTTGTTTGATTCTTCATTATTAGAGGAACTAATATCGGGATTTATTGCGGCTTTGGTCGAGTAATCTCGAACAGTCTTCAAGAAAAAGTTGCACGTTTGAACGCAGTGTCGCGAAACCAAACTCATAATGAATGAAATTTTGAACGACAGCCTTTTTTTCTATTCTCGAACATCTTATAATTACACGTGGAAAAGGGGAAAATATATAAATCGGGCGAATTTTCCTATTTGCGTAACAATCTTCACGCGTTTCTTTCTTTACAATGACATCGACAGCAGAACAGAAGCCCAAGAAAGTAGCAATCATCGGCTCTGGAGCTGCTGGATTGGGGGCTGCCTGGCTTCTCACCGAGCACTCGCCACATACTGTTACTTTATATGAGGCAAACGACTACCTCGGTGGACATACACACACCGTTGACTATGTAGTTCCATCCACCAAGGACTCTGAAAAACCGCTCACAGTTCCAGTAGACACTGGCTTCATTGTCTTTAACCCGGTCACCTATCCAAACTTGATCCGTTTCTTTGATCACATGAACATAAAGTACATTCCTTCAGAGATGAGTTTTGCCGTGTCACGTAATAAAGGTGAATTCGAGTGGTCAGGACGAAATTTATTGTCTGTATTCGCGCAGCCACAGAACCTGTGGAGTTTGGATATGTGGAAAACTTTATATGATGTGTTTCGATTTAATTTTCACGCGACGGAGCTGTTGGAGTTACCTGACGATCACCCGGAAAAGAGTATGAGTCTAGGTGAATACCTGGACTTGCATGAGTATTCTCATGCGTTTCGGGATAATTATCTTTTGGTATGTTAATTGAAGAATTATCAATGCATGCGAATAAAACGATATGTAAAACAAACAATTGGTAATTGAGCATTTTATCTATGATTATTGTTTTTATTAGCCAATGACCGCATCCATCTGGTCGACTCCCATTGACAAATGCTCGGCTAATTTTCCCGCATTAACGCTTATACAGTTTATGCATAATCATTGCTTACTTCAAGTGTTGAATCCTATTCGGTGGCTTACTGTAAAAGATGGAAGGTGCTTATACAAAAACTTCATCGTGATGGTAATCATTTCATCAACACTCTATATTGACATCTCTTATCATTTTTAAACATGTCACATAACTCAAAGTCGAAAATATGTCGAAGCAATCGCATCAAAGATGAGCGACATACGCTTATCAACTAAAGTACTTTCCGTTACGCGTGTCACAGAATCATCTTTATCCGCCCCCAAAATTGTTATAGCGGATAATAATGGCGGACACGAGAAATATGATCATGTAATATTTGCGACACATGCCGATCAGGCTCTAGCAATTTTAGGGGATTCGGCGACCACAGACGAAAAGAACATTTTAGAAAGCTTTCAGTTTAGTAAGAATCGTGCATATCTACATAGTGATTTGTCGGTGAGTTATTCGTGATAACAGGTCACAAAATCTAAAATATCATTTATAAAATGGTAAATTGATTTATTTGTATTTCTATTTAGTTAATGCCTCAACGTCGTTTGACATTCTCTTCTTGGAATTATATTACTAAATCCACAAACTCATCTCGAAATCCAAACCAAGTTTCTCTGTAAGCCGACAAAGTGTTTCAATAATGCCTTTTATTTATTTAAAAATAAAATCATTTCATTATTCACAGAACTTATTCAATGAATATCCTTCAATCAATCGACGAGTCAAAATATGGACCGGTTCTTGTAAGTCTCAATCCATTATACGAGCCTGACCCAGCAAAAGTATTTGGCATATGGGAATACGAACATCCAACCTTCACCTCAAATGTAATTTCTTCTCAACAAGCGCTTGCATCCATTCAAAATTTGTCCCATTTACAAACTACCTTTGCCGGCGCATGGACGAAATACGGGTTCCACGAGGATGGATTCGCTTCCGGTATGAAAATCGCCGCCGAATTTCTCGGTGCAAATCCTCCTTTTGAGATCAAAGATGCGACATATATCCGCGGGAAAAAGCTTGAGCCGACATTGATAGGCAAGGCGCAAAGACGAGTGTGGCTTACCATAGAATGGGCAGTGTCGTTGATTGTTTACTTGTACACGTATGTGATCATGCTTTTGGAGGCCATTACGGAACGAGTGCGGCAGTTACTCGATGATCTTGAACAACGTCAGAAAGACGAGTAGTGACTGCCAAACTTGATCTTATAAAACGCGCGTTCATTTGACTGAAATTAAATTGGTTTTTTTTGAGATTGCTGTAGCTCTTTCTATATTTTGTCACAATTAATTTAATGACTAATTATTCTATCGCAATTATCCCCCATTTTAGATATTCGCTCGTGGCTGGTATGATATGTGTGCTTGGATACATGTATATACAGCGTTAAACTCAAAGTTTAGAGTCTATATCTTTGCATATTAATTTAATTTGTATTTATATTTTTATTTATTTTCGAATAAATATTTTCAGTCATAGGATATCGTAAGAAACCACACGATTTAGTTATATTGTAACGCACTTGTTCATCTTAAAGTTGACATTGTAAATAAGATTATTCACCAACGTCTAGGTTCTCTTAAATCCCTAACATGGTGAACTTGTCCATAATTGTAATTTCGATTTGTTTTTACAAGAACTCTATTCACTAACAATTTTTCGACTCGTCCTCGGTACTCGTACGGTAATAATGGATGATGTCGAAGGAAAACACCTTTTCCACCAGCAGAGTGCACACTCAATTCAGCATTCTCAAAAGTTCCCGAAATCGAAGCCCATCCAACGCCGGAAAACACAATATCTTTCACACCAATACCTCCATGACGACCGTCTACTAATATCCGTTTTCTGACTGGCTGCATCGGTGGAAAGGATAGAATACGTTCTGGTGGGCCCATTGGCGGCACGATTACAGATTGCTGGATTCCATTGGCTAAATTGTCGCAGAATTCGTTTGCTCGCGTAATGTTTGTTATATGTACTGGGATTTTGCTAAAGATGGTAAATAGAATTGGTACATTGCCATATACGTAATCTATCCTTCCCAGACCGCCAAAGAATATCGATTTTCCTAATAATCATTTCAGAAGTATTAAAGCAAGAACTTTGTGCATAAGTTAAAATTTCACATCCACGCTTACCAGGTTCAATTCGATACGTTAGAGGCTTTATCCTTGTGCGAGGAATAACTAGTTTGAGTTCCTCATGCGTGAGTAAATGCAATAATTGAGATTCATTGACTATCCCGGGAGTATCGTAAATATGTTTCGACACTTTGAAGTAATGCTTGACTTCCAGCGTCTTACCGAACGCGCCATTGAAAATTGATAATGGCAAACCAAGCATTCCCATTGTAGTACCCGGTACTAAAGAAGCGGTAACCTTATGTTGCCATCCACCCACAGCACTCGTTCTTAAAAAGCTGTTCATTAATTCAGACTTTCCTACATTAGTGCAGCCAACCAAATAAACATCGTCACTCGCGCTACGCATTTCGGCAATTGTATTTACCAATTCCCGAACACCAAGATTTTTCACTGCGCTAGTCAAATGAATGTCCACCACATTAGTAAAACCCAAACCTTCCAATTCGAAAGCGATCCATTTTTTAATACGATCATAATGAATATCTTTAGGTAGTATATCAATCTTATTGGCAACTATGATATTTCGAGTTCTCGTACCAATTAACTTCTCTAAATGAGCTAAAAGACTGCCAGGAAAATCAAAAATATCTACAACGGTAAGCACAATTGAATTCGGTTTCTTTGCCAGAAACTTCAGAAAAGATGTGTCAGAACCTACAAGTGCATCTTGCCAGTTGGGAGATGGAAGGCGATTCTTGTGCATCAAATTATAACATCTTTGGCAAAAGACGCGTGGATTTCTTGGTTGCTTTACTTTTCCAATAATCTGATTTTCTGAATCAGCAGAATCCGGAAGTCCAAGTGGATAGAGTAATCTTTTATTTTCTTCATCCATCGCGGCGAAAACTTTATCAAATGTTCCTTGTTCGGCTGCTCTTTTTCGCTTATACTTTTCAAATGAATTGTTCGTGATATTATTGTAATTATCATCTTCCATTAATCTAGACATATTTGTCACTAGATACCCGGCTTTTGTTTCATCTTGTGCTTGGAAAATTGCACCACACCCTGGACATTTATCACCTTCTTTTGGCTTTTTAAAGGGATCGTCTTCTTGAGATTCCGAACTAGAGTTATTTTTGTCATCATTATTCAAAAAATTTATTTTTGTAGCATTTAAATGTATCCTTCTTTCAAGACTTGTTGAGAGTCGACTGATTATTTGAGGTTTAACTTGTAACGTCGGATTATATTGTAACAGAATTTTTTCATAAAACAGATATCGAAAATATGTAAAAAATTGTCGGCGAAACATTTTCAAATTATGGTTAATGATCTTCGTGTATAGGCAACAAACATTAGCAAATAACGATAAAAATCTATTCTATATTCGTCCCCTATGATTGTAAATATAATCTTTGCTGCCAACCAATTTGTTGATTCCTTTAATTGATTATTGCTTTTCTTTGGTAATGCAAAACAGATTACGATTAAAGCATACTTACATGAAATCGAAGAGAATGAGGATAAATCGAGTGACTGAAATTCTAGGTATTATGATGACTATTCAATAGTTCATTCATAAAATATCATTTCCTCTATATGAAAGTTTTATAAACACATAAAAGATATACAGTGTATGAATAAAATAAATAGATTGATTAAAAGTAACAAATTTAAGGACGTTATGATATACGTGAAAATTAACTAATTTAACGTTGCGCTTTATTTCAATATCATATGATGTTTGTTATACAGTTAAATGCTTTAATTTGACATTACACAAACAGAACATGTAAGAATTTGAATAAAGCATCTAAATATCATCGGGATTTAAAGGGCTAACATCCCCTAGCGTGATAAGAAGATCAGCATGTTCTACTCCTGTTATCATCGCTTTTACCAAATCTTCAGGCATATATTCGCCAGCTTCATCTATGGATCGAATTATATATCGTTTTCCTACTGGTGGTATTGCTTTATTGGTGATGAAAGAAATTAATGATGCAAAGGTTGTGTGCTCCCCAACAAAAATTTTTTGATGATATATTTCTTTCTTGGATCTTATTGACACCGTCTTAACTAAATATATATGTAGGTAGACAATTGTACATGTATATATAATTAATATACGTGATAGATTAAATTATAAAATTTATTACAAACAAGTATTTTAATAAAAATAACACACCTTGTTGATTGATTTCGTTTTGATTCAACGAAAATGAAATCTTTCCCCGTTTATTGGATTCGTCTGAAACATTTTCAATAGATTTGATTTGAACATCGATATCTATGTAGTTACATATTCTAGAGTTACATACAAAGTGTTTTTTAAAAAAAAGAATATATACAGATAGTAATTTTACCTTCATTTGTAACATATAAATTAACACTTGAACCTAAAAATTTAATATATTTTAATCAAATCTGAAATGCCATTTAATTGAAATAAAATATTTAAATCAACCTGAAATGCATTTAATTGAAATAAAAATAAATGTGCGCACCTGTATCGGCTGGAATTGGTATTAATTTTGAAGTAAAGATACGACTGGTGTAAATTGAATTGGAGTGGATTTGTTGTTTTTTGTTTATATTTGCAGGAATACTTTTTTGTAATTTCAACTCCTCAAGTTCTTTCAATTTCTGTCGTTCAAGTTTAAGATACTCATTAATTTCTTCCCTTGTTTTAGAACTGCAGTACTGAACAAACATCGGATTCACATCATCATCGTCATCATCATCGTCATCATCCTTATCGTCATCATCATCGTCACCATCATCGTAATAGACGACCTTGTCTCTGATAAAGTAAATAAACTTTCCAAGCTCCTTAACAGTTGGTCTGTTTTCTGGAATAGGATCCCAACATTTTTCAATAATAAATTTGCACCATCCGGGAACATTCTTTG